ACCGTTTCTCATGTTTCCGTCGTTGCGTTTTCAACGGAACCGGAACACTTTTTTACATGTTTTCGACAGATTTTCGTTTCAAGAATAACGTATTTCCGCGATCTTAACGTGTGTTTATGTTGCGGAAACGCGATATTCCGTACCGGAAACCTGTTATTTCGTTCGTTCAACTGGCGGAAACGTGAAGATAAGGTCTGGCAACCTGACTTGTTTTTCCGCGTTTCCGTCTGTTTCCGTTACTGCGTAAATACATATACGTCCAAAAAGTTTCATATTTGCGGAAACCAGGTTTTCCAATGGGAATTTTTCCTTATTCTTACATGAAACTAACCTTCGAGTATTTTTCCTGGTTAACTTACATGCAATGAAGACTTGTTCATTATATAAGTCATACAAATATATACCACCATAAAACTGAAATCCATCTGTGATGCATTTAAAGTTTTATTTCATTTCCTTCACATAGACTCGTATCAAACAATGCTTATTTATTGTCCTATCTCATACGCAGAAGTTGCAAAGTGAACATAATTGTAGCGTGCTTAGAGGCTATAAAATAAGTGCAAAGATTCAAATGCACAAATTACATCAACAAAAAATGAATGGCTAAACTTTGACATAATACAAGTACTGTTTTTTGAGGTAAATTATATTAATAGTTTACTTCACAAATTGAAAACCTAGCTAGCCTTTTTTCACCATACTAACAAATTTAACAGACACTTATAATCTTGAATTCAAGTGTAGCTTATGGCTAGTGATAGTTTTGTAGCCTACATGTATAATATTTGAGCAAAGTGGAATATGATTTGTCTGGTGAATGTCCTGAGTAAGACTGTTGTTGACAGCGACTGACGTTTCATCAACAAGGTGATCATCAATTTCATGGTCATTGTCAAAACACCAGTTCCTGTCAACAGCCCCAATAAGAACTTTTCTCACCTTTTTGATCATTTTCCACTTTCTTATTTCAAATGAATCCTAACCTTAAACCATTTAGGACAACAATAAAATTATTATTTTGTGTCAGGAAATATTCCTACTCTTCTGACATGGTGTTCTAAACTACTTACAATTTTCTATGACCAGTGCAAAGATTCAGATGCAAAAATACATCAACAAAAAAGTATGCCTTCAGTTTTACATAATTCAAGTCTGCTAAAATTGTTTATGTGTTTCATGTATACCTTTCAGTTTACAACCTCTCACAGAATCAACAGATACTTTTAAATGAATCTTATAAACTTGAACATAAACTCTGTTTCATTATCACACATTGATGAAGGTAATAATTATTATTTCAAGACCTTGACAGTTTTTCAAATTGTTTTAAGGGGCTACATCTGTATGCAGGGGAAGATTTAATCGATTTCTATGATTTTTAGCATCCTTAATAAACAATAGTCGAACTTTAAGAAAATGTTATTTATCTTCCTTTAGGTATAAAACGGTCTGAGATATCGGTATTTGTTTAAAACCGCAGATAAGCCTTAGAGCTCTCTAGTTTTATATCTGCAAGTTTGAAGTCAATCGTGACCGTAGAACTCGCTGCACAAATAGCTGGTCAACTTTAACGCGGAAATGCAACGCTAACACATTTGTGGAAGTTGACGCACAAATAGAGGAAAACTGTCTACGAAGTATCTCCTACCTGAAAGGGTATTCTTTCCCAAAGCTTCAGTTGCAAGAAACTGAGTAATCAGAAACCTACGGCAAATTCAATTTGCAATACAAGAAGAACAATTTTATGCAGAATGCGGGGCAAGATTAAACATGATTAAAGAACATCTGTTTATCAAAGTTACCGTGTATTCGCCCTTCTCTTTTCGAAAAAATCTCAACAAAACAATACATATCATCTACGGAAATCTCCTACCAGTTTTTAGCACCGAAGGTTCCCGTCTTGAGGAGAAATAAAGCCACCAACTCCCTTACTTCAACCGATCCATTTTCAGTTGCAACAAAAAACCCTTGTATTGGGTAATTTATTCAAGCTTGTTTGATTTGGCATCACATTCGCACGGCGGGCAGTTTGCCATCAGGGATAATGAAAAGAATAAGACGATTGTCATATTTTGTTCATTTTTATCCCCAAGTGGCAAGCTTCCCGCGTGAATGAGATGTCGACTCCAAAAAGCTTGTCATGAATAAATTACCAAGTAAAAGGGCATTCAGTGCAGCTGAAAACTGGACGTTTAGAGGTACTGGAGTTCGTGGTTTCATTTCTCCTCAAAATGGAAACCTGCGACACTAAAAACTCTTGGGAGTTTTTCTTAGATGCGAATATTTTGCCTTGTTAATTTTTCACAGGTTTCGAAAATAGAGGGACAAATGCAAAATAAGTTTGATGAATGGAAGTTATTTATCTTGCCCCGCATTCAGCGTAAAGTTGTTGTTCTTGTATTGCGAACTGTATTCGCCGTAGGTTTCTGATTACTCAGTTTCTTGCAACTGAAGCTTTGGGAAAGAATATTTTTTCAGATAGGAGATAGTCCGTCGGCCGTTTTCCTCTATTTGGGCTTTACTTTCACAAATGAGTTAGCGTTTTGAGACCAACCCTCGAGTACGCTTCCCCTGTATGGTGCCCTTACTTAGTTAAGAATATATTGTTCTCTCAGAGAAAGTTCAGAGAAGAGCTTCTCGATTGGCCTTAGGTCAGCGAAGGGGAGAGATGTCATACGAAGATCGCTGCAAAATGTTACGGTGGTCGCAGTTGACTGACAGAAGGCTATATTTTTCTTTGATTGAATGCTATAAACTTGTATTCGGATTGAATAGCCTTTGTTTTTGCGATTTTTTTTGAGTTCGCTTCAAAACGTACCAGGTCCAATCACAACTACAAACTGCAAGTTAAATCGGCGAACTGCAATTGTTATAAATACTCTTTCTTTGTTAAAATTATTCGTGAATGGAATGACCTGCCCGCCAATGTTTTTGAGATAGGAAATTTAAGACGTTTTAAAATAGCTCTTAAATCGTACATGCATATTTCTTAGGTTTTTATCCATCTTAGATTTTATTCATAAACATATATTTTTAACTTTCATTTCCGGAAGTTTATTTACATAGGGTTAACCTCTTAAACTTCCTTTTTAGGCCGGGTATTATTTGTGTCTTTTATTTCTTATGGTACCTTACATAAAGTATGTATGCATGTAAGTTGTATATTGTAGTTCTAGTTGAAATCAACAAACTTCTTAAGAACTGAGGGGTAATAAGTCGTCTAAAAATTGCATCTCCTTCAGTTTCCCTAATTACTCCGGCGGCGCTGAGGAGTGCTCATTTAAACTTTCTAATTCGATCATTTCCTCATTCTTAGAATCCTTGATACGCTCCATGGAGAAACCTAATTGCATGTCGTTAGTGATGGGTGCTCGAAGAAAAGAGAAAGTAAAGCTTCCTTAAGAACCGGATAAAGCTTTTGCAGGTGATATTAAAAGAGATTATTTAATGACACTATAATGGGAACAGTTATTGAATTTTTTTTCTCGATCGATTCTTCCACTGTAAGGTGTTTTTCGTCTAACTAAAAGAAAATTGACCAAAATCGAAATCAAAGGATGAAAAGAAAGCAAGATCATCAAAACAGATACGTATCACTTTCTGCAACCCAGTCAACTGTGTAATGCAGTGCGTAAATATGGGTCTAGGTCAGTATTCTGAGAAACCGTAATTATTTCACTTACGACAGAGACAGACTGACACGGTCTCGTAAACAGAAGTGCTGAGCGTCAACCGACCCGTCAAAAACCAGGAAAAATCAAACCAAAGGAGTGGTGAGTAGATAAGTTAGTTTACCATTCTGCTTAACTGGCTTATCAGTAGGTGTCGTACGATCTGGTCAGTGAATGCATGGCCAGAAGTCGCAATCAGAAGCAAACTCAACTTCTCCTTGCTACTCCGACAATCTGGTGTTTCACAATGTGTCTCACTAGATCCAGTCGTAAACTGAATTGAAAGGAAAATTGACAGAAATTTCTGATCCTTGGGTTGTTAACAGGTTTAAACCTGAGCAGTACGAGGAGAAACATCGCTTTTCCACTTAATTTGTAGCAATGTTGCAAAACAAGTTGCATGTTTTTGTTGCCCGTTTAACCGAAGCTTAAAATTCCCCGCTTTAAAGTCCCAGGGGTCGGGGAGCTGGGGGCCGGAGTCGGCAATTGACTGATGTATTATAAACTAATAAATTTGCAAACTTGATCAGGAGTCGTAAGAAGGGTCATAAGCTGGACGAATTGGGACTGCCGGGGCTTTCGAGACTGAGCGCAAAATTCCCGCTCATGACCCGGGTCGAACTCGTTTTTTATTAATTCCCCCACCCCCTCGGGGCCCACACGTTGTTAAGTGTGCATTATATCCCGGCATTGGCCGCGTTGAATTCCCGCTATCTCAGTGCCACTATGCCCCGCGGGGTGGGGGGCTTGGATTTCAATTGACAATGATGCATAGAACGTATGATCTGCTTCGATGATGATGTAGTTTGTGCCTATGATAAGGCAGTATAAATTACTGACTCGGCTGCAAAGCAGCCTGTAACATGTTTAATTTATAGGATATAGGAGTATAAGTTGTAAAAATTTATCTGTTTGTTTGCTGCAACATTGACTGATTATTTATGTTGTTTAAAATTTTTTTCGTTTTCAAATGAGCTTTCGGTTGTGACGTTAATCAGTCAATTTCCTTTCATAGACGAGGTGGGGGATAAGGTTCAACGACCCTGTCAGTTGGTACGTGCTAATGAGTAGTAAAAAACCTTTAATAATTCGTGATGTTCTTTTATTTTCCTTAATACCATTGTTAATACGCGTCTATTAGCTTTGGTAAACATCAACTTTTAAAAGATACCTTCATAAAAGTTCACCAGATTATATAACTTAAAGGCTCTAACGGATAATAAGTACGGACTTTGAACGTTAATTTTAACTTAAAGATTCTAAATTGACAGTTCTTGAGCGGACTCTTGACTTGGTGATCAAAAACAAAACTTTCTTCCGCATTGAAGGAACTAATTACTTACGCCATATCACGCCACCAATCAGTTGTGTATTAAACAAAATATAAATCTTGAGTTATCTCGCTTTTTTATCGGTCTTTGTTGGGAAATTCTCAGACGGACTTCTGGCTAAAGAACTTCTTGACAACATGTCGCAGGAAGCAGCTAAAGGTGATGCACCAGGAAGACTGAGTCCGCTGAAACAGGCCGATGCAGAAGTGCAAAAGATTTGCGATCAGGTATCACTAAACTAGCATAATGAGGCAGCTCCCTCATGAAATCTCATTTCTTTCTCCGCTTAACTTCGAAATGCCTTGTTTGGCGATAGCGGACAACCCGCGTAAACCAAGCTGGAAAGCACACTGCGTAAGTATTATCCTGAGCATCAAGATAATACGCCATCTTTTAAGGCATACGGACTGATTTTGAATACGAAAAAAGATGTACTGAGTTATTTAACCTAGAAATATCCGTTATATGTTTTCCTTGTTTCACCATGTCGTTTTCTTCAGTTGGTTTGAGCAAACTACGAGAGCGCGCGTGAAAATTGCCATCTACGAGAAAGGTGACACTCGGAGGGAAGACAGAAACATTATATTTCCAGCTTGGGCTGACTGTGCTGAGCTTTGTAAACAAACGTCATGAACAGTTAAATTATTGCCAGTATGTTTGATGCGATAGAAGTACATTTGGTTGTAATCATGATAACAATTAATATTCCAAACCCCACTTGCACGACTTTTGTGATTAAAAATGAAGAAACCAAGGGAAAAATGAGTGGAAGGCTTCCAGCCGGAATATTATTGTTCACTGTATTGTTGCCAAGTAAAACCTCAATATAACGAAGAGCCAAAGGACAGGCAAAATATGTTCGCTTAGACAAGGTTTCGTTTTATCGAGGTTCTTTTAATTCATATGTTTTACTATTACTGGGGTAAGCACAACAGTTCGTTATACCGAGGACTTCGTTACATCGAGGTACCACTTAGATGGCACCATCACAGCAGAGGTGGGCGAGGTATAGTTTAGGCGCATACAACTGGGGTTTTACGGTATATATTTCACACCTCTTTGCTAACAAGGTGAAAAACTATTAACCTCAACTTGTCTCCCCAACAGGTGAAGCCCCAAGCAGAGAAAATGGCAGGGCAAGAATTTCCTGAATTTAAAGCCATATCATATAAAACTCAAGTTGTAGCTGGAATAAATTACTTCATTAAGGTTAGTGAGAAAGGTTCCACACCTACTCCTTCCCTAAGCCATTAATTATAATACTTGCTTCTCAATTAGAATAGAGTTAAGTCAAGCGTTGTCTGTTTCCATAATCACAATATTCTCATAACATAGCATTCCAGTCAAACGGTCTGCCCGGTCGATGAGGATCAATAGTTTAAAAATGAGGTTTTGTTAAGACATTGTCACCCTAACTCAACAACAGCCCCACACTTCGCCTTCAACTTAACGCTTTCGGACGTGAGCAATGGATGCAGGGTCAACTGTGAAAGGTTTAGCCCCATGTAAGGGAATCTGGATTGCGGAATCCGAGAGATTTTTGCTTGTGGAATCCGGAATCCCTCTATAACCATCAGTGCCTGGAATCCGAAATCAACGGCGTGGAATCCAGAATCCAAGAATGTCTTGGATTCCCTTACATGAGGTGGAAGATTCTTCAGAGAAGGGTACAACTTAGTTAAGGGGGCTCTGTCACAAGTGCTATTAAGCCACGCTTACATTCAATTTCCGTTTTTCTTTTTCTGGAATAGGTGTATTATCCATCATCCTCGCTTTCATGCTCTTTTATATAATTATCTGTTATCACAAGCTCAACTAAAGGTTTAAATATCTTAAACAGAAACTCAAGAGTAATTTTGGATCAAATTCCACATTCAATGAAAAAAAATAACATTAATTTTATTAGATCTTTTATTAGTGTCCCCTGGGTGTCGCTATCAAGTTGATGTTTCTTGTATCCACATTTCAACTTTTTGAATGCTGAAAGTTCATAATTGCTTCACACATTACGTATTGGATCTACAGTGCAATCTCGATTTCTCGAACCCCTAAGAGTTGCGCGACCCCGACTTTTCAAACCTCACCATCATTCGAGCCAATTTGATTTCCCAATAGCTCCCAATGTTGTCCGATAAATCGCGATTCCACTGTAAACCTTACTCGAGGGTGGGTCCTTTAAACTGTTAAAATATTTTACCTACAGGTTCACGTTGGCGGTCCTTCCTACGTTCATTTGCGTGTTTTCCAGTATCTGCCAGTATATGAATTACCTCCTACATTATCTGCTATCAAGAAAGGAATGACCAAGGACGATCCCATCAACTACTTTGACTAAAGTCCACACAAGTTCTACATCAAGACAAAATTCAACCTCGCACCTAGCTTTTTTTACTCGCTAACTACGTCATGCTACGTCATTGACGCAGTTGACGAAAAACCTCGTTCCCGGGGTCCTTCTTTTTTGTCTTCTGTGTACGACTCAAGAGTGGCGTAAATGACGAAAGAAAGATCCTGGGAACAAGGCTAGCTCACGAAAACGAGGTTGGACAAAAATAACAGTGACTAGTGATGTAAGCATTTTGCAATAATGTTAAAATAAAAAGTAAAACTATTGTTTGCTTTGTTTGATCGTTTGCAAAGACTTCTTATAACTTAAATTAACTGACTGAAGGGATAGATTAAACACCTTGTGTCTACTTGATAATTGTAAGTAAAGCTTTGGAATGCCAGGAAAATGTATCACGTTCAAGCCACAGGAAAATGTATTTTCACTGTACATGCATACAGGATCGCCATGGTAAAAATTTCGAGGTTACATTCCACACATTTTGTCGAAATTACGGTGCACGCGTTTACTCAAAATGTCTCCTGACTGGATTAAGTTTGATACACAACTGATCATATCTGTTCAGTTGCTAAAAAGAAAAAGGAAAGTAGAAAAATTATCTTGCGTTTTTAAGAAAAAAAAAATGAAACAATCAAATAAACGACTCTGGCAGGATACGAAACAACAACAACAACAAATTTTATTGAAACTTGGAAAATAATTTCATTATTTTCCCACCCGCAAATAGCTTATAAACTAATCGAGGCGGGGGGAGCTGAAGACATATTACAAAACAAGATTTATATATAGATGGACTAAATAACAGTGAAGACACTACTATACAGTAAATAGAATTTAAACTAACATTAAACAAGGCAAGTACACAACGATTACTCAGGCATAATATGACACACGAAACAAGATAACAAGACAAATAGAAAAAAGCGGAAGGAACACTTAAGAGGCTGTCCGCGTAAGAACCGATAAGGCAAATTTCGGTCTATCACGGATTGCCCTGATTTTTTCAGTGGAAGATAACTATCCAGTCACATGAAGAAATATCACATTTATTTGAGCCAACTCAAATTTTTCTCTATTTTACAGGAAGATTTTCTCGGTCACCTAAAACTGACCCGTTTGCCGTCAGAAGTGGTACGATTTTGCTGAAACTTTAGGGCTCTGTCAAACCTACCTTACGTAGCCGAATAAACTGATTATTTTACAAACAAAAGTTTTTACTCTGATTAATAGTTTCAAGGTTTAATGGTTGCATTCTGTGGAAAGTTGGCTGAGATATGATTTTTTTAAAATGACCTTTAATTTGCTCAGTAGGAAAAGTAATTTGCATAACTAGAGCTGAACGGTAATTTCGCAAAAGTGGCACCTGACCCAGACTCAAGTCTATGATAAATCAGAAGTACTAAGACCAGTCTACTTCTTAATGTAATAAAATTTGTGGGCACTCTTCTCTGCGTGCTGTACAAAGTTCCGTTAATGTTCCAAAATTCGCCACTTTGACAGCAAAGCTGGAATTGTAACGGGTCCGCATTTGATCGACTAATTTCCACAGCTTTAACGTTTCTAGGTATCACTAAATGTCATTAGACCCTTTAAATGTTGGACGTTTGAAAACATGAGGAGAAAACTTAGTAATCGCTTTTCCTTGGGTCTTTTTCTTGTCGACGATGAACGTTACTTCATTCTCCGTATGCAAATTAGCTTTAGATGCTTTGTTTCAACAAATGGACAGGAAATATAATCCTTACATTTCACGTTTCCACAGAAAAACACAAACCATGACTTAGAATCCCCTTAAGGTCTGTTTTTTTTTTTTTTTAACGAGGAAGAAGCAGCTGAATAATATATCGTTATATATATATGTTTGCGTGGCTTAAAATAATTCAATTACTGTGTCCTGTCACGCATTCCTTAAGAGGGGTGGTCGATTAGAAAACAATAGCGTTGTGTCGATCAATTCTATAACATTATCACCTTTTTTTTTAAATGATAGTTATTGATAATGATAAAAAATAAGAGTTCACTTGCAAGGTAAGTCCTCTTGTCAGCACACGGAAATTTCTGGGCACTCTTTTTTGCGTGCCATAAAAATAAAAAATAGCGTTAACCTCGAAAGCTTTATAATGATATTTGCTTATCAGGAGAGGGCAGATCTTTGTACATGGCACTATGATAAAAAAATTTCCCACACTTTTTCTATCTTAAATTAGCAGTAAATTTCAGTTTCATTCAAAGATCTTTAAAGCGTTTATCGATAGCAGAATGAAACGGGAAAAATAGTTCCTTTTTTCAGTGAATAAACGCAAAAGGGAGTATCTTTCTAGTTTTTGTAGGGGTATAACATCCGAATTCCAACGATGATCTTGTTTTGGTTTCAATCTGATTGAACTATAATGCTACAGTTTCAAATATAGTTATGTCAATGAAATCGCCGAAGAGATCAATTGTGAAAAATGGCTTTTTCGGCTATTTCATCAAGCAGTTCTTCCACGAGATCGTAGACAGAGTGAGGTCCCAGTAGGGGTGTGGAGGAAAATGTGTTGGTCACAGAGTGCATGGATGATATTACGTCGCACTTAGCCAGCTGTCACTTGTCTAAGTTTAGCAAGTGTAGCAAAGACAATGAAAATGAACTCATTTTAGCGAGAGTACGTATTCGAGGCTTGGTGGGTATTCGGAACTGAAATGACAATCTGCCCAGGGCACAGACACCTACTTGGCAGGTTTTTGCGAGCACCAAGATCTTGTTAGCCTCGATTGTAAGCCGCAGTTCTGGAAAATGAGCCCCCAACGGACGGGGAGACGGCGGAAATCGAGCCTAAGGTCTTGTCAATACCCCGGTCACACTCTGGATCATACTGGCAAAATAACTTCTGTGGCAGGAAGACATGTCGTAAATTTCCAGATAGCCAGCGAAATAAGTCAAAGTTTTGTTCCATCACGTAAGTATCATTCTTTTTTCTTCTTCATGCCAAAAAGTTTCTTAACGTACAGAGATATTCTAATTTCTCTATTTAACATTTTATCTTGCGATGTTTTCTGAAGTTCGTTTTCAGTTTATTTGAGCTTGCAAAGATAGTTTTTGTTATTTCTATTTTTTTGGCAGCCGTGTATCTTGCCCTAATCAATTCTTACCTTTAAAATACTATACATACCGGTTAATCCGTGTGTTGTAAAAGATAGTTTTCTGATGATTGTTTGAAGAGCATTATAAATGGGAAAAAAAGAACTTTCTACACGGAGTCAGGATTCAACCTCGTCCCCAGGGCTTTCCCGCCTCTGTCATTTTCTAAGAAGAATGTCCTGGGGACGAGGCTAGGAGTGATTGTGGTCGAGGTGTCGTTCACGTGTATGAAAAGTATTTCATTTTTGCAATAAAAATAATTTTTTGGAACTTAAACAGTGTTTAAAACATGTCTCTAATTTTGTAAAAATTAGTGAGACTTAAAAGTACCTTAGTGTTCAGTTCAACTTTATATAGCCGATTTGCTCCTCCCGTCGCAAGAAACTTGAAAAAACTTGACGCCGAAGGGTCGAGAAGAGTACGATTGAACAGTCAGCAACCATGTCCACACATTTGCCGGGAGAGGTTTATTGGACAAGATTTCTCTGTTTTTCTTGTTTTGATAACGTTTTCAGTCTTCAAAAATGCCTCCAGATTGCTGTTTTTTTTTTGTATTTATACCCTCTTGAACAATGTGCTCCATCTCATCTCTCCATTTTTAACCTACTTTACCATCCACCCTCTCTTCCCACTGTTCTACCTCTACTTTTACAAGCATTTGTACTTAAGGGGGTGAAATTTCTCCGGTATATATTTATTTCTGAAAAATTAAGTCCTTCTACTTTTTCCTTAAATTCTTAAACTTAGTTCTTTTTTCTTTAAGAATCGCCAAAGATGCTGCTAAGGCTGCAATAAGCGCGCTCGCCCTTTTATACACTTCATCTAGTGAAATGCCCACCCTTTCATATACCTGAAGCCTAAAAAAGATACTCCTTTCGGGCGGAACCTCCCCGTACAGGCCATCATAGGGAGTTTCCCCCACCCCCGTACCAATTCCATGCTCACCTATTGCCAGCCCATGTTGGACTCTAGTCCCGTTTGAGTCAGCACGTAAACATGGTCCTAAGTGTATACAAGTTTAACTTGACCATAGAGATCTGTTGCAAGAAGACGAGGAGTTCGAAAAGCAAAAGCTTGTTGCAGAAATCGCTGAAGAATATTGAGACCACAACACCCTCAACCAGAAGCTTTCAAGGCTATGTGTATGTCAAAAGGAAGAACAACCTAGTCAGTTCAACGTGGTAATGCTAAAAAAATCTTGTGTCACTTTAAAATACCATTCAAATCCAGGGAAAGAAAAGGAGACCTAATTGACAAACTTTCGTCTTTCATACAAGATTGCACGTGCTTTTCTCCATCAGCTCAGGAGTGAACATAGGGATCCTTAATTTAGTGTGATTAACAGCCGGCAAAAACTTTTGGGATTTAACAGGAGACGGACCGTAAACAATAACTATGCCTTTTTCTGCATGCCATTCCTCATTTTTACTCAAATATTGTTAATTTGCGACAAACACAATGCTCTGTTAATACCACCATAAAGTTTGTAGGGTGGCCTATAGTTAGCTAGGGATCTAGGAAATGTGTATGCTGCTTAAAGGACTTTGCAGGTGTGGTCCTGTGGTGTCGCGCGGTATTTCTAAAGTTGTTTGCGAGCTATTTCCAAAATATTAATTGTTAATTTTGTAATTGAAAATATTGTACTAGTGCTCGTGAATAAGAGTGGCCGTGCCCAAGTGACTACTTTGTAGCTAATTGTCGTGTATTATACCATGGGCTGTCATGTTAAACCCTATCCTCACGGTGGCGCCCCGGGATACTGACTCAGTTAAAACGGTCGTAGAATGAATAAATACAACAGCACGGTATTTCCCACCCAGTAAAGAATCGGAATTAACAGTGATTAAATTGTATGATTATCAATAACTATCACTGTATGATTATCAATAACTATCACTACCACAACTTTTAAAGAAACTGTCATCATTTATATAACACTTTTTGACAAGGAAATAACACCTGTACCTGTCGTTAAGGACTTGGGTGTTCTTCTCGACACACGCCTCAGTTATAGCCAACATATCACTGAGACTGCCTCGAAATGCCTTTTTAAATTGTACCAAATTAACAGAATCAAGCATCTCCTGGATAGGAAAACACTTTTGTTAGTAATAAATTCATTTGTCTTTAGTAAACTCCAATATTGTTCAACTGTCTGGAGTAATACCAGCAGCAGCAATATTGACAAGTTACAAAAAGTCCAAAACTTTGCTGGACGAATTATTCTGGGACTAAGAAAGTATGACCTTATTTCGGATGGGTTGCGATCGTTGAAATGGCTTCCTATTAGAGAGAAACTCATTCTAAATGACGCTACTATGATGCACAAATGTATTAACAAGCTTGTTCCAGACTATCTAGCTGATATGTTTAAATCACGTTCTCAAGTCCACAATAGACAAACTCGATCATCTGGTGCTTTGGATATACCTTTATGTCGCCTGTCAACAGGGCAGCGCTCCTTTGCTTTCAGAGGAGCCAAACTCTGGAACTCCTTGAATGATAATATTAAGTCCTTAAAATGCCCCAGGAATTTTAGGCGTCATCTTGCAAATGTTTTATTAAGTTGATATATTTTTTGTAATTATAATATTATTGTACTTACATTCTTAATTAATTTATATAAATTTGTATTTTTTATTCTATTGAGCTGAAAAGCCCACTTAGGGAGCATCAATAAAGTGTATGTATGTATGTATGTAAAAGAAATATAATCAGATAAAAGAACTGATCGATACACGGCCACTCTCGGGGAATGCGTGACGGGCGATAGTAGTTAAGTTATTTTAACTCGCTAAACATATCTTCTTCTACTGCTTCTTCCTCGTAAAAGAAACAGACCTAAGGGGATTCTAAGTCATATATCGTTCGTGTTTTTCCGTGGAAGGAAGAGATATTTTCCCCTTAAAAATGTGACATATAAGCAGTTATGTTTCCTGTCAATTTGTTGAAACGACGCATCTAAGGCTAATTTGCATACGGAGAATGAAGTCGCGTTCTGATCGTCGACAAGGAAAATAACCAAGAAAAAGCGATTACCAAGTTTTCTCCTGATGTTTTCAAAATTCCAACATCTAGAGGGTCTAATGATATTTGGTGATAACTAGAAATGTTAAAACTGTGGAAATTAGTCGATCAAATGCGGACCGTTACAATTCCAGCTTTGCTGTCAAAATGGCGAATTTTGGAACATTAACGGAACTTTGTACAGCGCGCAGAGAAGAGTGCCCACAAATTTTATTACATTAAGAAGTAGACTGGTCTTAGTACTTCTGATTTATCATAGACTTGAGTCTGGGTCAGGTGCCACTTTTGCGAAATTACCGTTCAGCTCTAGTTATGCAAATTACTTTTCCTACTGAGCAAATTAAAGGTCATTTTAAAAAAATCATATCTCAGCCAACTTTCCACAGAATACAACAATTAATCTTTGACAGTGTTAAACAGAGTTAAAACTTTTGTTTGTAAAATAACCAGCTTATTCGGCTATGTAAGGTAGGTTTGACAGAGCCCTAAAGTTTCAGCAAAGTCGCACCACTTCTGACGGCAAACGGGCCAGTTTTAGGTGACCGAGAAAATCTTGCTGTAAAATAGAGAAGAAACTGAGTTGGTCCAAATAAATGTGATATTTCTTCATGGGATAGGATAGTTATCTTCCACTGAAAAAATCAGGGCAATCTGTGATACACCGAAATTTGCCTTATCGGTTCTTACGCGGACAGCCTCTTAAACATCAGAAATTTACGAAATGTTACGCGGAGCACTTCAACACACGGCCCTCCATCTTAACCACATCAAGTGGTTAAAACGTTAAAACGTTAAAACGTGGTGAAAACGTGGTTAAAATGTTAAAACGTGGTGAAAACAATAATTTTCCAAGTTGACATGTATACTGTGTCAAGACCATGGGCAAAGCTTTTTAACTATATCAAAATCAAGGACTTTTCTTACCACAAAAAGGGGCAACATTCACCAACTCTGGCAGTATGACTATTCCTTCTTAGTAAACTCGATGAAAGAGCAGTGCCAGTTAGCTTTTCGGCTTTAGAAATGACCTTTTGGGGGACTGAACAAGAAGAATTAGCTATAATTCCTTTCTTTTACAGACCTTGTAACGTTCAGTCTACAGTGCAGGGGATGCGAAGTTTGTTCACTATGTATACATTTTGCGACTTACACTCCCACAGCATGTTTGCTGTTCCGGTTGCGGATCAGGATGAGTAGCTTTTCTTGCTGGGCAAGTAACGTCTTAAGCTTACTTGCCCAATGGGCAAGGGACCAGACACGTCATCTTGTGACCTAAATTATTAGGGAGCTTAAGCAACCAAGACGACGACGACGACGACAACTTCAAAAAACAATAGATTTAATGATCAAAACAACAGCTCTACACGTGCATCACTCTTTTCAGTACATTTCTTTGACGTCCACTGCACGACTACGACGTGAAACCTCCTTCACGCTTTATGGAGGACGTGGACATACGACGACGAATTTTCCTTCCTCTTTTTTAACTTGAATAAAATCCTTAAGAATTCAATTCCAGCAAAAGTCGCCTGCATTTGACATATTGAATGGGTTCAAATAAACGCGATTAAGTTTGAAAGAACGCAAATTCGTTTTTTTAGCGCCGTTTTCACTGCTGTCGTCGTCGTCGTCGTCTGTTAACAAGACAAGCCACCAATATCTTCGGAAAACAGAATGCGAGAGCTGTTCAGTAAGGACATTGCGATCAATCTCAAAATCAAATCCGTTATTTTGAAATATTTCCACGTTGTCCACAAGGATAGCTTCATTGGCAGCGGTTAGTTCAAGCTTCTGGGAACAGTAAGGCGTTGGGACTTAATTGTCGTGTTCCGGCCTCTGTCAGGATCCTGGTTAAATTTCTCATCTGAAGCATGCTGGTCGATTATGAACAAATCATTGTCCAGTTTTGCGATGATAAAACCCAGATTAAATTGACCCAAAACTTCCATACCCTTGAACATATCTTTACTGATATTTTTCGTTAGTTATTTCCCAGCACTGGAATTGGTCTCTGGTGCTATCTTCGCTCTAAACAAAAGAGCTTTTACTTCACCTGTTTTCTGTCTCGTTTGTTCCGTAACAATGCTTTTAAGTTTATTCATACTGAAACTCACTGTTGTTTCCTTTCTGTTTCTAACCATCTCTGATACCTGAGTTTTTTTTTTGGTGTTGCCAAGTTTAGGAAGAACCAGTATTGTTTTGCAAGATGCGTTACTTGAATTATCTTTAGCCTGGCCTAAAAGTGTTTGATTAGTTTTATCAAAACGCTCTGAATCTATTTCTCGGTGGACGTCTTTCTGAGAACTAAGTTCGTCATCATCAGATTCACTTACAGAAATGATATCATCCTTAACTTCAACAACTTCAATGTCAGTTTTTTTTGCTAACAGTTCATTGCTATCACCAATATTTTCAGAGATTATCCCTTTCTAGTTTATCTCCTGATAATAAAATACATTAAGAAATAAATTATTTACAACTGTTTAAAATAGTAACTATATATGTATATAAAACATCACACAGTAAAAGAACTTAGTGTTCACTAGAAAAATCTATAAGATAACGTCTCAGTCTGTTCTTGAAAATATTCAAATTCTCCGCCTCAGCAACTTCCTTTGGGAGATTGTTCCACTTATCTATTATGCGTATAAAAAAAGAATGTTTAAAACTATTTAAAGATGCTGATGTAAGCTTAAGTTTAAAACGATGGTTGGCTCTTAACGGCCGAAAATCATGTGCAAATGTAAAAAATGCCGAGGGATCAAGTCCATTAAGTCTATTTATTGTCTTATAACACTCGATAAGCGACGAAAATAATCTTCTTTGTTCAAGTGATGGCCATTTAAGGAGCTTTAGGCGTTCTTCGTAAGGCATGTCTTGCCCAACATTTCCAAGGGCGCATTTAGATGCTCTACGCTGTACTTTCTCCAAGGTGTTTAAGTCTTTTTTAAGGTGCGGACACCAAACTGGAGAGCAGTACTCGAGTATCGGACGTACTAGACTCTTATAAAGTTTTGAAAACAACTGAGGATTTTTAGGACCCACCGTTCGCCTAATGAATCCAAGCACACTATTTGCCTTATTTGCGCATTTGTTAGCTTGCATACTCCATGACAGGTTCGAAGTAATATAGATTCCGAGATCCTTAACTTCAGATACAGCTTTTAATTGGTTACCACATAGATGGTATTGAGGACTTGAGTAATCATTTTTTTTAGAAATGCGCATCGCTTCGCATTTATCTGCGTTAAATTTCAGCTGCCAGACATAGCTCCAAGATTCCAGGCGAATAAGATCTTTCTGTAGCTCTTCAACATCTTCCTTAGTATCCCTGAGTATCCTATACAATTTCATATCATCTGCAAAAAGTTTTGTGTTTGACATAATGTTTCTTGAAATATCATTAATATAAATTAGAAATAAAATGGGTCCCAGCACAGTTCCTTGGGGCACACCAGACAAAACGGAAGTCCAAGATGAGTGATGTCCCCGCAGAACAACGCGCTGGTATCGATTGGTGAGAAAACATCTAAGCCAAGACAGGAGTGGACCTTGGATACCATATGCGTGTATCTTTGTCAAAAGGCGTTCATGTGGCACCGAGTCAAATGCTTTTGAAAGGTCTAAGAATATAACATCAGTTGTCAAGCCTCACCTGCTTACCGCTAGGCTCTTTTGGTTTCTCAACCACATCTTGGTCAACTGATGAAAACTTCCTCTTGAAACTGTTAAGCGATGGAAATTTCCCTTTCTCGACATGCGTCCTTGTTGGTACAACTGAAGCAGGTAGATCTGATACCTTTTCATCTTGCTTGATCTCAGAGCATTGAAGGTTTTCATTTTCATGGGAGTCGCCATTGCAGGTTCTAGGAACCAACGTAGAGGCTGACAGTTTTATTTTTTAAAATATATGGTTGACTTTTATAGAAATGAGTCCCGAGCAGTGTGACTAGCTCTGAACTGCTTTAGACTCGATTACCAAACGCTGTTTGGGAAAGGAGCCCTTTCTCGGAGAGGAACATGTTCAACGTCGAACCCTAGAGATTCGAGCCTAGAACAACTAATGCCCTGCTGTACGGGGCCTTTAACAAACGTCTTGGCCCGAGGAGTGGGAAAAATAGCGGGGTTTTAACACCAGGCCAATGCTTAATTCCCCACTAAGTCCCGGGGGTCGGGAGGGGGGGGGTTGAGTTTCAATAGCGTAGCGCGCGAATGACGTCAGAGTGACTGATTTGCAATTTTTGTCTGAGTTTTGCCATTTTTCTCATTTTAATGACAAAAGTTAGACAAAAGTGAGGAATTCGCTAAATATTAATTTCAGTTTGTTTGTCTGAGTTTCGGGTCTATAAATAGTAACTGCACGCAGCGCTATTGACTGATGCATAAGCGCTAGTGAAAAGCGGTTTGAGAACGTATAATCTGTTTCGATAATGTGTAATTATGCCTACGATAGGCAGTATAGACTGAGTCGGTTGCAAAGTAGCCTGTAGCATGTTAAGTTTATGGGATATAGGAGTACAAGTTGTAAAAATTTATCTGTTTGTTTGCTGCACCGTTTAATTTAATTATCTTGTTTAATATTATTTCATTTTCAAATGAGCTTTCGGCTGTGACGTTAATCAGTCAATTTCCTTTCATAGAGAGGGAGATAGGGTTAACGAACCTGTCGATCCGAATCGATCCGTACGTGCTAATGAGTAGGTAAGAAAAACATTAATAATTCCTCATGTTGTTTTATTTTCCTACACGTCTACTTTCTTTTGTAAGCATCAACTTAAGATACCTTTGAAAAAGTTCACCAGATTATATCACTTAAGGCTCCAACGGAAGTACTGGCTCTGAATGTTTATTTTAACTTAAAGATTCTTATCGGTAGTACTTGAGCGTGACCTGGTGATCAAAAACAAAACTTTCTTCCGCATTGCATGAAACAAATCATTTACATTTACGTCATACATCACGCCACCAATCAGTTGTGTAATAAACAAAATATAAATCTTGAGTTATCTCGCTTTTCTATCAGATCAGTCTTTGTTGGGAAATTATCTGACGGAATCTGGCTAAAGAAATTTCTTGAGAACATGTCACAGGACGCTAAAGATGTTGTACCAGGTGGACTGAGTCCGCTGAAACCGGCCGATGCAGAAGTGCAAAAGATTTGCGATCAGGTATCAGTTTAAGCTAGCATATGAGGCAGCTCCCTCATGATATATTATTTCTTTCTCCGCTTAACTTCGAAATGCCTTGTTTGGCGATAGCTGACAACCCGCGTAACCCACGGCTGGAAAGCGTGCGTAACGATCGAGCTTCAAGTCAATACGCGACCTTTCAAAGCATATATAAGGACTGATTTCTAATGCGAAAAAAAGATATAGAAAGTTATTTAACCTAGAAATATCCGTTATATATGTTCCTTGTTTCTCCATGTCGTTTTCTTCAGCGGTTGGTTTGAGCAAAATATGAGAGCACGCGTCAAATTGCCACCCGCGAGAAAGGTGACACTCGGAGGGAAGACAGAAACATTACATTTCCGGCTTTGTAAACAAAGGATGAACATGCAGCTTAAATATATATTGCCAGTATATTTGATGCAATAGAAGTTCATTTGGTTGCAATCATGATAACAATTATTGTTCCAAACCCTACTCGCACGACTTTTGTGATTAAAAACGAAGAAAACAAGGGAAAAAAATGAGTGGAAGGCTTTTAGCCGGAATATTATTGTTGCACAGTAGAACCTCGATATAACGAACGGCCTATTAGGACGGGCAAGACGAAGTTTCATTATATCGAGGTTCTTTTAATTCATATGGTTTGCTATTACTGGGGTAAAGAACAACTGTCGTTATACCGATCGACGTTATATCGAGGTTCCACTTTAAATAGGTAGATGGTACCATCAAAGCAGAGGTGGGAAAGGTATAGTTAGGGCGTATGTAACCGGGGTTTTACGGTATTTATTATTTCGAACCTCTTTACTAAAGGGGGGTGAAAAATAACTTCAACTTGTCTCTCCAACAGGTGAAGCCCCAAGCAGAGGAAATGGCAGGGCAAGTCTTTCAAGAATTTAAAGCCATATCATATAAGACTCAAGTTGTAGCTGGAAAAAATTACTTCATTAAGGTTAGCCAAGAACGTTCCAAGTAACTATGTACGCGCCCATAGTCATTATGACATCAACGAAAGAGTGGGGAGTGGGGTAGGGGAAATGTAAAGCATTGCGTTTGCCAATTATTATTCAAGTATGTAATGATTCCTGAGTTAACTCAAGCGTTGTCTGTTTCCGTAATCACTCATAATATTCTCATAACACGGCTTTCCACTCAAACGGTCTGCCAGGAACCGGTGTATTAGCCATCATCCTCGCTTTCATGCTCTTTTATATAATTGTCTGTTAGAACCAATGCGTGTGATCATTAAACTTAAACTGAAACTCAAGAGTTATATTGGATCAAAATTCCACAATCAATAAAAAGAAATAACATTTGTTAGATTAGATTAGTGTCCCCTGGGTTTCGCTATCAAATCGATTTCTTCTGTGTATCGACATTTTAACATTTTCAATGCTGAAAGTTCATAATTGACTCACACATTACATATGGGATCTACAGTGCAATCTCGATTTCTGGAACACTGGGTGTTTCGAAATCCCCGATAATTCGAACTAAACCTAACTTTCTTTATCAGCCACACAGCGTAATTTTACCTCCGATTTTTCAAACCTCCCCAACATTCGAACCAGTTTGATTTTCCCAATGTTTTCCGATGAATCGGGGTTCCACTGTATACCTTACTCGAGGGTGGGTCCTTTAAACTGTTAAAATATTCTACCTACAGGTTCATGTTGGCGGTCCTTCCTACGTTCATTTGCGCGTTTTCCAGTCTCTGCCAGGTGATGGATCAACTCTTACATTATCTGCTATCAAGACAGGAATGACCAAGGACGATCCCATCAACTATT